CACTGATTCTGAATCTGCCCTTGTTGGTTCGCTACCACATCCTGTTTTCACAACAACGATAATAATAATCACGATAAAGGGGGGAAAAAAAGGAAGTGCAAGTACCGTTACCAGGTATCAGTATCGGGACGTTATCTGGCCTTGAATCAAAGTAGAAGTTCTGTACTTGCAACGGCCGGCAATACCTGTATTGGCCGCCCTCTTGTGGTCGTTTTACGGTCAGGACCTTCAGGCACATATCTGACACATGCCTATAAAGATGCAATTTCTTCTATGTAGAGATAGAAAATTGTCATTAATATGTGAAAGCGCTATATAAATCAGGATGTATTGTATTGCATCATTCAATTTTAAGGAAAAATGCAATAATGGGATATATAGGTGTTTCTTCAAAATTATCTGTCATTGTTTTTGGGGACATTTTCTGTACCCAAAATTCTAGTGTTATCAGTACTTGGTATCAGTATTGGTGACTATTCAAGAGTTGACTACTCATACTGGTATTGGTCTGGAAAAAAAAAAGTGGTATCGAACATCCCTAATATTTAGTACTCTATATGATTTAAGCGTTAGGTTCTGTAACCGATTTTTTTTTCTTCTGAAACGTCATAGCTATAAAATGCAACTCATCAATTCGTAAATACAACAACCGCATACAACATTTAAAAACAAAAAAAAAACCCCAAGAAAATATCTCCAAAACCTGATGTGCGAGGAAAAAGGATCGACATTTATGAAATCAGCATCAAAAATACATTTTCATACACTTACGGCCATCTCTGATTAAAACGAGTTTTCGACCAGTGTTCACCAATTTGATGGAGGATGACTCACCCAGCCTTGAGCACTCTCTGCACAACATCCACAGGTGGTTGTATCCTTGTGTACAGACGGTCATCCAGTACATGCTGGAGCTGGTTTTGGGCTTCCTGATCCCGTATAGCATCGTGGTGGTCAGCTACATCTGCATCCTACGCCGCATCCGACAGACGAAATTCCGCCGACGCATCCGGAGCGAGAAACTCATCCTGGCCATCGTGGTGACTTTCTGCCTCTTCTGGCTGCCCTACCATTTGGTCAACATGGTGCACGTAAGTGCCGATGTACTTGCCACGCGCATCTGGCGTCCGCAGACGGATTGACGTGACGTTTTTTTTTTTTCCTTAGGTCACGTGGGCGCTCTGTCCCGATGGTTCTGTCAAAACAATGTAAGCCGTCATGTGTTCTTTTCATTTCTTTCTTGTCTTGATTATGATTAGAAGTGAGGCTCCAGCTTCCTGCCTGTCTGTTGTTTTTTGGATTTACCAATCAGGAACTCTTCTTAAGTGTTTTGGATTTTCAAGCTGTCCGTTTCATCTCAAACTGCCATTCATGAGAGCTTGTCATCCAAAAGGCTGGCGAAAATCTGGCACCGGAGCCGCGCAGTCACGTCCTCGGTGGCCTTCATCAGCAGCTGCATCAACCCGGTGCTGTACTTCTTCGCCGGCAAGTCATACATCCGCCGTGAGGGTCTGGCTTTCATGGCCCGCCTGTTCGAGGCGGCCGGTCTGGACTCGGTCAGCAGAAAGAGTCGTCAGAACAGCCAGAACAGCCGCGACAAGGACAAAGAGGTGGATGGCGTCATGCTGAAGGAAAAAGTTCACGAGTCCAACTCGAGCGCCACTGTCAAAATGTCGAAGCCCCAGACGTGACGTCGAAGCCTCAGAGGTCGCGCCGGCGCCGCCCGGCATTTTTGAATGTCTCGTCCGTCCATTGGCACAGCGAGCTATCCTGATGAACAATGAGGACGGCAAATTGTTATCGTGCTGGAGCTCCGAAGAAAAGCTCTGTCACCTATTCACTTTTCCTGGCATGGTCTGTGGTTATAGTATTGTATATTCCGTCTTGTGCAAAAATTGTGTCTGTGTTGCGAATGAGGTCCAAATAAACAAAATGGAAAGTATTTTTCCAGTTGCACCATAACACCGTTACAAGATGACGAGTTTTTTTTTTTTTTGTGTGTGTTTTTTTTGGGGGAGACGTCATGTATTGTCGGTATTGTCGTCAAGAAAGTTCATCATGTTTTTCATGTGCTGTTCATTCATGTCCCGCTTGCACAACCGGATGCCCTCCTGTTGGGTAAACCTGTACAAGCAAATGACATCTCGTACTCCACACTTGTCATTGAACAACAGAACTGCCTCGCATCACAGGGAAAGCTTTTTCAAATATGTCGGTAACCAAATACTAAGAATGTTTTTTACCTTTATCGTGTCTCTCTCTGACAGTGTGAACAATCGTCGCTCATTAGAATCTGCCAGTGTACCTAATAAATTGTCCATTGACTCCAATGATGATTTTTGGGCCAACCAAAAATCATCATTGGAGTCCGTCGTTGTCGACAAAGCATCCCGCATTATCGCGCGAGCTGCATCGACTCAAAATTGTGTCCTCTCAGCGCGACACGAGAGCCTCCTTCTCATCCACTCTGGTAACTTGATTTCATTTTGTTCACTCGCTCGGGCTGCATCGACTCAAAATTGTGTCCTCTCAGCACGACACGAGAGCCTCCTTCTCATCTACTCTGGTAACTTGATTTCATTTTGTTCATACTTGACCATGTTTGGAATGTTCACCTCACTGTTCACCGTGTCCCGGGGCTCTATTGTGAAAGTGCGATGTTGTAACGCCACTTCAGCACAATGCAGCT